ATAAAATAAAATAAAATAAAATAAATTATTCAGTGTCCCCCTTTTTAGCTGTATTTTTGTAAAATAAGAAAAGCAATGATAAATCTTCTTTATATGGTCTATTTGTTAGCCATATAATGTAAGGAAGAGCTCAGAAGTCATGACCAAGGGATACCACTGGGATAATATGTTAAACATGTAATCTGATTCATGGAATTCTAAAACAGTAAGTACGAGCTTTTCATAATCATAGAAAATGGGAAATTACAGGATTAAAAATTGTTTAAAAATTGTTTCCTCAAATATGTTTCATGGTATCCATCAGTATTTACTTATTTATTAAAATAGAAAAATATTAAAATATTGCTCTTATTAAGGCAGCTTAACAGGGAATTTGAATTTATTATTACAGTAGGCTGTATTGCGTGCAACGACCTTGAGGACTTTATCTACATTATAAGTTTGTCAATGTACTTCTACATTCTTGTTCAGTCTTGTGCCTCTTCACAAGTAATAACTATGATTTAGTTTAAGAGATGCTAGATTATTAACACTTTTGTCAGTAGTGGTAAGAGATCACCATGTTAATTCCTCTCTTAGCCCTAAACAGGAAAAGTCTAATAATTTTATTTTTCTCATTTACAAAATTGCACTGATCTCTGTCTATAGGCTTCTGCCTATTTTATCACCTACCTGTTTGTCAAGCATTTTTCCAGAAAACATATCGATTTTAATTAACAGTTCATACATCATAAATTTGAGTTGGAAGCTATAAATCTGCATAATTCCATATTTCACATTTATTTTTAAAGGGATAAATTGACCATTTTAAATATAATTTGAAAGCTCCATCCTATATTCAGGAAAACAAATTTAAAAAAAAACACTTTCTGTCAGGAAGCAAAACTGTTTCGTGGGCATAAGCTGCTCCAGAGTAAACAGCCTTGCCTAGATGGTAAGGTCAGCTGAGGAGAGAGACTTTGGTCAAAGGTATTCCTGCAGTAAGCTTTGCCACTGGAACTGTCATGGAACAGACACAATAGATTCAAACTGCTACACAGCACCAGCATCACAATCTCCTAGGAAGTCAGTGTCACTTAGTAGGCTCCTGAGATTAATCTCAAGTGAGAATTGATAGCCAAAGACAAATTACATCTCTGGGCACCAGCATTTCTGAAACTGCCCGTCATCCACAGCGTCTGCCTTAAAGATGTCTCTTTTTTCCCTCATAAATTATTTTGGGCTCCTGAAAGTCCAGCCACACTAGAATGAAAATGCTGCACCTATTACTTTACACAAAGACATAGCTGTGCTTGATCATGGAGAGGCTCGAAGAATCTCATGTACTTGTAACTGAATAACGTTGCCAACAGTGTGCATTCTTATCTAATGACCCCTTTTTATATGATTAGGTTGACTTGAAACACATGCCTCCAGGCAGCATGCTTCCCTTTTTTGTCATCCTATTAATTCCTATGTAAACAGGAAGTGCTTCAGGAAGTGCACTTAGCTGAGAGCTGTTACTGAAATCTTATTCTCTGAAGCCGTATTTTCCAGAGGAGATACTCAAATATATTACATGCAATACTATTTCAAAAACAATTATATTACCAAAGATATTAAAAAAAGAAAAAGTGAAACAACTTGAATTTATGTCTACCTGCATCTTTGGAAGTTCTCAATTCAAGTAGCAACAATTCTTTTTGCTTCTCTTCTGCATCTTGTATGGCAACGACAGACTCCTGTTAGCAAACACAGAAATCATAGCAGGAGTAGAGCCAAGTGCACCATATAAAACACAGGCCATGATGCATGGCCTCCGGGATAAGTATTGATGGACTCAAGTCATTCCAGGCAGGGAATTACTGTGTAAAGGCAACGAGGGCACTGGTAGGATAGATGTAAATAGTGCCAAGGGTATGCTCTGCAAGGGGCTGTCACAGCCTAGTTTTGCACAGGCATTCAAACTAGTCCATGCTGAAAGTCCCACCTCTGAGCACACTGCAGGGATTAGACAGTGATTTTCACTATGACAGCATCACCTAGACAATGTAGACATAGCCTACAGGTATCCACAAGTGCTCTCCTAACATATAACTTTGGCAAAAATCTTCCTGGGTGTTTTAAATTAATATTAAACAATTTCTAAATACCTTCATTACCATGAAGAAAAACCATTACTCGTTCAAAAAGCCACTTTGGAAATGTGACAAAAAGCCTTAGGACTCCTGACCATCTTCCTATTCATACAGGCAATAAGAAATGTAAGTAAGTATTGACTATGGTTTGCACAGTAAGTCTAAGTGCACAGGAATCATGAACAGAAAGAAGTGATAATATACACACTTATATACTGTAAGCCACAGCTTAGATACTGTAAGCCTCTGCATGACGCTGTTTTTTACGTACATTCTAAAGTGTTCATTATTTAAATTATATTTTATGTTACTCAGTCAGTAAATGACACTGTGCAATACTACACTATAAAGCAGTTTAACAAAACTCTATTCTATACTTACCACACTGTATTTCTCACGTTGTGGTTCCAAAGCTGCATCATCATTTTTACAGTAGCTGCAACAATGATATTTTGTTCTTCTGGACCTAGAAGGGTATTTCCTCTCTTTGCAATTAAGAAAAAATAAATACAATTTTAAAATAATTTGCAGGAGCATGATAGGTTACATTAGCTAATATAGGTTACAAAGATGCAATGGCAGATTACATCATAGAAAAGTATCTTGTATATGCAAATGCGATCAAATTTAAGCAGCATAAGGAAATAAGTCTTTAAAGCTACCACGTTGAAAAACACAAGGTTCCTGTGAAGGGAAATATGGATAATAAGAAAAATCTGAAGAGCCAAATATATCCTTATAGCTCATTTTCTCAGGGGAAAAAAACCCTCATGTATCCTATTTTCTGAAAGTAAGTAAATAAATAAAATTCATTAGTTTAAATTGAGTTAAAAGTATCAGTGCCAGGCAATATGCAGCTCTGCAAATCAGCAGCATTCTAATGTACAGTTTTAATTTAAAACTACAGGGAAATCCTGATTTACATTATGAAGCTAACATACCTGTAACTTCAACAGTCTCAACAGGAAGTACAGAGTCCATAGAACTGTAAGACTTCAGCAGTTCTTTCATTTCATCATCACAAGCTTCATCCAAAGCACTTTTCCCTGAACAATCCCTCTCACAGGGATTTGCTCCATGCTGTAGTAGAATCCTTACTGCCTATTATATGTTATTATTATTTGTGTTGTGATTATTCTTGTTGTGAACTTATAATACAGCTTTATGTGTTGTATCTATCATAAGTCACAAATAATAAAGGTACAAATAAGTTACTCTAAAACCTGTTGCAATTCAAGTTAAACAAACAAGTTTAATTTACTATTATCAACACAGACTAGTATCTTACACTTCTAATTTTTACACTAAAATATAAAAACAATTTACAGCTTGCCAGTAAACCTACCATGTTTATGGTACTGTTACAGAAAGCAATTACAAAACCTCATATATCTAAATTAAAAGGAAGTGGTCAATTGTGTTAAGACCAAAATTCAGAAAAGAAGTGGATTTTTTTTTCTTCAGGTATTTAATAGTGGTTTTATTTTTCACTTACATGCATTGATGATTTTTTCCTAATTCTAAATCACTTGCAAGTCTGCTTAATTGTAAAATGTGTAAATGAGATTAGTGGTGTCAGCGGAATCATCTACCCCTTAAAATTCAGATCATATGAAAGCATTGATGTGGTCAGAGCTTGGATGTTAAAGAGTTTTCATACATATGAGTTCTCATCTTTAGCATTTCTTCTTCTTTCTTACATTCAGAATGCTGTTAAGTATCAGAAATTATCAGAAAGGTATACCCTATAGATGTTCTTAATCTTCTCCATTGGTTTTCCCCCACAAGAATAGCTTTTTCCCCACTGAAATGTAGCTTACACATTTTCCAGAACCCTGCTGATAATTTGGCACCAGGCTTGTGAAATCATCCCCTTCATTTTATCTTTGCTCACAGAAAGAATAGATGTGATGAAATATCAGCTCTGACAGAAATAGAAGCGGTATGTTTGAGCCAATCTGGCATCACCTTTTTACGCTCCATACCCTGGAACTCACTGGGCCAAAACAACATTTATTTGTTCATTCAAATAAAAGGCAGACATTTGGCTGAGCTTGAGCAGTACATTTATTCTATCAGTTAAGCATGTATTTAAAGCTCCTTATGTGACTTAAGTTTTCTCATCATGCTTATAGGAAACCCCAAGCCCATGCTTAGTGCAAGTCCCACTCTACATTTTGGGACCGAGGTCACAGTTCCACAGCTACCTATGCCCATCTGTGCTGGGCTTGCCCTAATCCTACACCATCCATGATGGGCGACCCAGGCCCATTCCTTCCTTTACACTAGCACGGTTCTTACATGGGGTGCGGGGGGCTGTTCTAAACAGAGCCTTGCTTTTACAGGATTAGTTTTCCGTCTGTTGACCTCCCTGAACTATTTTTCTCCATGATCACTGAAGAGCTCATGACAATGCAAGGGAAGAGGTAAGCTCACATGTCCAGGCAAGGGACTAAGGTAGGACTGCAGCATCTGGGACAGATGGCCTCAAAGTGTAATGGAGCCACAGCCTAGCTGTCTACACGCAAGACTCATGACGTTATTTTGGGGTCTGGATGGACTGGGCACAGATTTACAAAATGCTCAACAGTTCAGCTAATCATCATATTCTGATTTTTTTTTTTTCTCAGTAGGTTATGGATTATTTAGGGCTGATAAACTGGCCGTCACCCAAGAGTAGAGAGAGAAAGCATGTTGGTCTCAGCTTAATTTTCCTCTCAAGCCTACCTACAGGCACTACAGTCTTGCAGTATAGATTAGGCATATAAGGGACCACCCAATTGTTCTTTATAACAATGTTTTAACATATTGTCTCTGGTTTCTCTACATAACATGGTTGTGCAAACTTATGCAGTGTATTGCTTTGTATCTTTGAATACCTTCCAACAGAGATTGTGGATGAGATGATTCTTCCAAAGGAGGTATGTTGGTATGTGTCAAGAAAGGATCCAGGTGAACTGCTCAGAGCAGGTACCATGACCAAGATACACTACAATGAACTATGAGATTTCCTTGAAGAGATCAAATCATCCATGAGCTGCTCTGCTGGCAGTCATGCCTTTCTGATCCCACCTCCTTGCTTGTTTTCTGATTGATTTCTCTTGCATAAATGCTGGACTTTTAATTCAGTGAGCTTTCTGAGCGCCCACTGAAATCCTCAGCTTTTAATGTAGGAAAAATGTATCAAATGTAGTGTTTATTTATAGCAGTGATTTTCTCTTGTTCTTGTGCTAATGTAATTTTGTCATGTTCTCACTGAAATGGAGGAGGAAGACAACCCAAACTACATACAGCTGCAAGACACCATCAGCAAAACTCCCCCCTGTAGGGTTACCTTTTTATGGCAACTGTTCCCAGAAATATTTTTTGACAGTTGACTCTTTAGAAACAACCACTCACAAGTGAGAGGCCACTAGCAGGTGACTGCTGTTTGACGGAGGCAATCTTCAGTGCTCTTAAAAATGTGTCTCTTCCTTTGCCTGTTGAAAATACTTCACAATCTCCCCCACACTCATAGAATAAAACTTAAATTGAGATGGATTTTCTTAACAGTAAATTGAAATATTTTTAAATAGGAATGAAGAAAACATTTAGGGTTCAGAAAAGTTCGCAAAAGGAAAAAATTATAACTGAATGTGCTTTTAAAATTTCAGATCTGATAATTTCTTTGGTTATTGTGATACTTTTTTCACTTCAGTGCAGCCACTCCTAATTTTACTTAATGTAGAATCTCAGAAACATAGAATGGTTTGGACTGGAAGGGACCAGTTAATGAAAAAGACGGTTTATTTTTAAACAGCAGGCCTAGGGTTTTTCCTTTACAAAAAAGAAATTTTTTACGATGAGGGTGGTGAGACACTGGAACAGGTTGCCCAGAGCAGCTGTGGATGCCCCATACATGGAAGTGTTCAAGGCCAGGTTGAATGGGGCTTTGAGCAACCTGGTCTAGTGAAAGATGTGCCTGCCCACAGCAGGGAGGCTGGACCAGATGATCAAATTGAGAATGCTCAGTTTCAGTATTATTTTTAGAAAGCCCAATACATGGGAGAGAACCATAGGGAGCTACTGAATTTTTCTGATTTGTCCACTGGACTGAAGAAGTCAACTAACTGTACAATTTCAACTGTCACTATTGAAAAATATTTCTTTCTCTAATTTTGATCACTTTAAAGAATATTGGTTTATTTCCTAAATGCAAATCTACACTAAAAATGTATTAGTAACCTTGACCTTCCTTATTTAAACCAGGCTTTTGCTTTGCTGACCCTCTGCTGGAAATCAGACTCAGGAAATCTACTGTATAAGAAAAATGTACCTCCAAATAATTGCCAGAAACAGCATCATGTATTGGCAAAATACCATTCAGGCTTCTGCTGTTAACATTAGCACCGGCTTGCAGTAATTCTAAGATCACTTCAGAAAATCCCCCACTGGAAGCTTCATGAATTGCTGTCCAACCTAATAAAAGCAAGATGACACACAGAGCATGCACATGATTTGGAAACATCCATATAGATCACTAATCAGTGATTACACACTTTGCTGCATTTGCTGTACTGTAAGCAACAGACTACTCTCTTCAAGATAAATTTTATACAAACAATCATCTTGAAGTGCCAAGGTAAATTATTTCCTGTGTAATTCAGTTTACTTTAGAGAAAAATATACCCAGTATTAACCTGAAAAAAAATGTTTACTTTTGTACTGCACTACTAAATACATATAACAAAAGAAACAAAACAATAGAGTAGAAAGACTCTAAAAACTCAGAAGCATAATATTAATAGTCTGATTTCTAATCCTGGTGGCATCTTATAATATTAAGTCTGCCAGGCATCCAGAATAGAATACCATCCATTCTGAGACTTATACATTTAGGTAGAAAAAATTAAAAATAATCTTTTAATCTGATTTTTGTCCTCATTTCCTAAGGAACTAAGATTTGTGTGAATGTGCTTCACATGTGTATATATTCATGTGCATAAGCATTAGCTCCCCCGCCAAACTTTCAAGTCCACTTTCTGTACATATCTCTGAAAATGTGCTCTTCAGCAGAGGAGCAAGATCCAATTAATGCCCCTGCTGAGAAAAAGGCTGCATTAGCTCCATGCTGAGACAGAAAATCCAGGGATTCACTGATTGTGCTTGCATTTGTTGAATTATTTCCTTTCCTCCTCACAATTATGTCATAGATCAAGAACCCACAATCACATTAAAATTATACAAATTATATAAAACCCTATATACTGTACATTATATACAATTGTATCAGAAAACAAGCCCATAAGAGAGTAATATTCAAACCTGCATAGTCTTGTTCATTGACACAAATTCCAGACGATATTAGAGTTTTCACCAAAGACAAATCTCCTCTCCTAGCAGCAATATGCAGCTGAGTTTCCCCTTTTGCATTTATCTTTTTTTTCCTTCTCCCAGCTGTTGTATTACAGGTACCATGTAAAACTACAGCTTCTTTTCTGGTAGATAGGGAGGATTCTAAACACATATTGAGTGTTCATTAGGAACCACAAAAAGTGTTTCATTATAAACAAAGAATTAAGCTTCATAACTCATTTTAATTAATGTAAATGTGTGCAATACTGCTGTCTTAATTATTCAATAACATTAACTGACTACATCAGAAGGTTAGAAGGTACTGCATAACAGCTCAGATAACAAATAGATCCTATGCAAAAGAATAAAAAGAATATACAGTTGACTTAAGGGTACAGGGGATTAGAGATCAAGAAAAAAAGGCAACAAGGTTGAAGTTTTATACTGTATAGATGTAGGGAGTATGTTATATTTCTCCATGGACTGCTTTCAAGTTACCAGGCATGCCTGCTAAATATATAAAGTACACACATAAAGGTATTTAAGAAACTATATAAATGTCAAGACTTGACCATCACCTCTTTTCCGATCTTGATTCTTGATTGGGAAGAAAGAGGTTTCTACATAAGGTATTTTTATAGCTGTGATATGAATAAGGCCTGTAGACTGATTGCAAATCTTTGATTAATGTCTAGTGACATAGTTGAACTGTCTTTTAATTAAACCTGTGCAGGATTGGACTCATGATTATAAATAAACCTGTTTTTTTCCTTCTCTTATTGGTTCACGATGCAAATGACATCCACTTTAATTTTTATCATGTGATCATCAGACAGGTCCTAATTCTGAGGCTTCAGGTAACAGACATCAAATTGTAAGAGATACAAAGAAAAAAACAGATTAAGAAGTACTGATTCTGCGTACAGAGTAAGGTCAACCCTCTCCACACACTGCTACCAAAAAGACAGGGTGTATAAAACTTTAAAAGCTTTATCATGCATGTTAGCTTTTTTTTAACTCCTGTTCCTGCTGTTATAATACTGTGTTATCGATTTTCTTTAAAAGTTCAGTGTTCTTTCTCTGATTTCTTGAAAATCTGTGATTTGTCCAAAAAAAAGGAAAGTGTAATTTTTATACACTTTAAATAAGCATTTTGCAACTTTTATCCATGTTTTTGTAATTATTCCTATGAACAATTAGTTGCTGCATCCCAAGCATTTCCTCTTCTCATCAGACAAGCTGTTTTCTTAAATATTTTCAGTTATCAGTATCCATTGCTATCAAATATCTTCCATGATTTGACAGCTGCCTTTCTTTAGGCTCCTCCTGCCTTCTGGAAAATCTGCTTTTCCAAGATGCCTTTAAGGTAAACTACTGAGCTTGTCATCCAAGACTGGAAGAACATTAAAGACATACTGCAACTACATTAAAGACAGAGGATATAGTGAGGATACATCCATACTATTTTTGAACTAGCTTGTTCAGGCACTGCTGCAGCCAGACCATGGCAGCATGGAGCTCACTGTAGGCTATTCTAACCCGTCAGAAAGGATTCAGGTGGCCCTCTTTGCATTTGGAGGAGCTTGGCACATAGCATATTGGCAACCAGAAGAGCTAGAGAGTTTCTTTTTTAAATGAAAACTGAGATTCTAGAGTACACAGAGGGGTCATGTTATTGAAATACTCCTCCAATCTGAGACCTATTTTTCTGTGAGATACTGTATTGTGTTTTGTCTAAAAGCTTCTGAGTCTGAACTCCCAAAGCAATCATCTGCTTTCTGGTTCTTCCTTCGATTCATGGGAGAATGTCCTGGGGACTATTTAGAGACATGAGAGAAAAAAAGGCACACAACAGCCCATTAAGCTAACGACCCTTTGCGATATTGCCTGCAAGTGAACAGAAATAATTGCAAAGTTTTCCAGCTAAATTGTCATGCACAACAGTTTTCTTCATGGTTGTTAGGAAACATTTGCAAAAGCATAATGAGACATTGGTATGTGAACCACAAAATACTGGTTCTCCATGGAATGCATTACCAGGTGGGTCA